ACATTTCTCCTAGTTGCTCTCCATCTGATCTATCTAATTTTGCTGACGAATTCACCATGTTTGCCGCTGCCAACTTTGAAAACTCTCTATCCGTTATTACTGGGGATTTCAACTCCTCTGATTGCTCCTTTCTTGAAGCACTTGGTCACACAAACATAATCAAATTTCCTACTTGACTAGACAAAACACTCGATTTAGTTTTTACGAATGATGAAGGAGTATATGAAACACGTAGACGTACACCGATACTTAACTCTGGTCACTATATTGTTCGTGTTTTCTGTCTGTTTTCAACATAGAAGTTTGCACATGTATGCGGCAGTTCAAGTTACCACACTCCACTCCTTGTACCACACAAAGCAAGAGAAGAAAGTAAAAGAAAGGCATAATAGAGACAGTAAACAGAAGTGTGAGACAAAGGAATAGCAATAACGAAGAACGATATAGTTTCACTTGAAATCATAAGTCACAAGGAGTGGATGCATCTGCATCGGCCATCGAGAACGATTTTGAGCCATGTCAACAATTGTTTCCAACCATTGGTTTTTACCGTCCCGAGGATGCCAACCAGACAGCAGTCTACACCTTCCTACGTGGCTTAGACTAACTGTTGTAGATTTCATTGACTGGTGCCATGTTTTGGTTTGACCGCCGCTAGCTTTTTTCCAACCTGACCCTATATCAGCTAACATTGCCCACTGTCGAGGAAGGCGATGACTAGGAATACGTAACACATGTCCTAACCATCTCAGTTTATGTAATTTCACAGCCTTGTCGATTGATTTCCCCTGTTTACCTAGAACTCGACAGAGGCCTGACCTCAATATTGCTCACCTTATTATACCACTTCACACTGGGGATAGAGCGCAGGCACCTATGATCAAAGGCAGTCAACTAGCCAGGCTTTTCATGTCTTCCACTCTCAGTGGCCAGGTCCCACAGACAGTCATAAAGGAGGACGGAGTGGACTGATGAGCAGTACACCCGCCCTTTGGTGGATAGTCGAATATCTCGTCTACGCCAAAGATGGCGTAAACTGGCATATTTGAAACTAGCCCCCTGTATCCGTGCTGAGATTTCGTCAGCGATCCACCCACTGAAGCTGGCTGATGCAACTTCCCAAATAAGTGAAGTGGTTAACACGCTCTAATAAAGTGGGATAGGACTTCCTAATGTCACCCATGATAATATTCCCTAATTGTGATGGACTCGATTATGCAGAACACTGTGAGTTGGGATCAAGAAGACAGGAATATGTTGAGTCAATAAAGTAAAAAACTCTAGATCTAGACATCGCGGACGATATATGTCTAATGTCATAAGAATCCGAAGATCTAGACATGAAAACCAACCAACTAGCAGAAGACGTTGGCAACAAATACACAACTTCAAAGTGAACATAGAGAATACGCAGGTGGTGAAGACAACCAACCAACTAACAGCAACAAAAAAGCAGTACCAACCCCTAGCAACAGAATGAATTTGAAAGAGGTCACTTCCAACACCCCAACTTATCTAGGAAGTATTGTTTCAACCAGAGCCAGGGGAACGGATGAAGATGTCAAATCCAGTCAGGATTGGAAAGGCAGGGCACGCCTGCATCATTCTGAAATCAGTTTGGAAAGCTTCGACATTCAGCCAGCATAAAGAACAAGATTTGGACTTTTAGCACAAATGTCAAGTCAGTCAGTCGGTTCTTCTTTACGGGTCAGAAACTTGGCCAGCAGCGTGGTGTCACGAGAAGGATAGTGCCAACAAATTATAGACTTTTATCAACAGCTGCCGCCTTCGCTGGATGTGGCTCCGCACTGAAGACCAGAAATAATTAACACGCCAACAAACTATGGTTGGGAACAAACTAACCAAGAACCTATTTGATATGTATCCACATGATGTGTGTGTTTTGTTTTTGACAGTCTGTTATATTTTGCTATGTGTATATGGATCGATATTTCATTTTACCTGACAATATGCTTTTGTCTGTCCATTAACTAAATAAACATGTATGGCCTTGTTGTCACATGACATTACAACCAACCATGTTAAGACTTTCTATTTATTGGTTCATGTGCATTAGTCATTTTCATATATACTTTTGTACTGTATACTTGTTCCCATGTTTCGTACACTACGTACCATTTCACTCACACACTCTTGTGTGACATTTATTTTCCTTGTCTGGAAAATAAAAGTATCATCGTGAACCTGGTGGTCTTCTGATTTCCCTCTTTCCGCGTCAGGACTATTAACTACTCGACGAGTACATAACACTATTGTTCAACAAATATATGCAGGAGAAAATGGAGATGGATTAGGCACACTCTAGGGGAGACGACTGTCGAATAACATCGCGTTCAATGCCAGGCCACTGCATTGCTCAAGTGGAATCTGAGACGGAAACGACAAGTCGGTCAGCCTAGGTTGACATGAAGGAGAACGACGTGTAAGGAGTAGGACGATATCAGAAACTATAGGCAATCGTGGTCCCAGCTAAATAGGACAACAGAAAATAGAAGAAAGTGGAAATGTGTTGTTGACACCCACTGTTGTTCTACTCAGAGTCCAAGGGGACAATAATATAATAATAATAATAATAATTGGTTACAGGATTTCATCATGAGCTGACATTGGTTAGAGAACCATTGGAAAGCCCACCAGGGAGTACTGGACAGCCAGTTGTTTCGTCCAAGTTTAGGACTTTTCAGTAGTACGCGCCCATTCCGTTGGAGTTCGACTTCAGGACCTTCTGGTTACAAGACTAGCGAGCTCGTAGACCATTAAGCCAGTTAGCCCATGAATTCTAACTTCTGCCAATCCACGATATAGCGCAACCGCTAGCCCATGTCTTCAGTGAGTATTTGTCCTCACACCAGCCGAAGTGCTGCACCCCTACTGGTCACAACGACTACCACTAGAACCCCAGGTAACTACCTACCTGAATAGGGCGGCCAGTCACCAGTGAGCATGTATCTCATTGATATTCAAGTATTGAAGAGTCAGTTACAAACTAGGCTGACGAAACAGCTGGCTGTCCAGTACTCCCTGATGGGCTTTCCAATGGTTCTCTAACCAATGTCAGCACATGATGAAATCCTGTAACCAATCAACCAAATCCCTACAAACCAACACTTGAATAATAACAATAATTATGAATTGTGTTTTTATTTCCCTCGCATCTCTCCTGTCTGTTTTCGACATAGAAGTTTGCACATATGTGCGGCAGTCCAAGTCGCCACACTCCCTCCATGTAGCACACAAAGCAAGAGAAGAAATCCATAAGAGGGACAGTAAACAGAGGTGTGAGACAAAGAAAGAGTATTAACGAAGAACGATATAGTTTCACTTGAAATCATAAGTCACAAGGAGTGGATGCATCTGCATCAGCCATCGAGAACGATTTTGAGCCATGTCACCAATTGTTTCCAGCAGCCATTGGTTTTTACCATCCCGAGGATCCCAACCAGACAGCAGTCTACACGTTCCTACGTGGCTGGCTTAAACTAATTGTTGTAGATTTCATTGACTGATGAAGCCATGTTTTGGTTTGACCACCACTGGTTCTTTTCCAACCTGACCCTATATCAGCTTACATTGTCCACTGTCGAGGAAGGCGATCGATGACTAGGCACACGTAACACATGTCCTAACCATCTCAGTCTATGTAATTTCACAGCCTTATCGATTGATTTCCCCTGTTTACCTAGAACTCGACAGAGGCCTGACCTCAATATTGCTCACCTTATTATACCACTTCACACTGGGGATAGAGCGCAGGCACCTATGATCAAAGACAGTCAACTAGCCAGGCTTTTCATGTCTTCCACTCTCAGTGGCCAGGTCTCACAGACAGTCATAAAGGAGGACGGAGCGGACTGATGAGCTGTGCACACGCCCTTTGGTCGACAGCAAGCCGGATATCACGTCTACTAAGTCAGAGACGGCGTAAACTGGTATATGCGAAACTAGCCCTCTTTATATCCGTACTGAGATTTCGTCAGCGATCAACCCGTTTTCGTTGGGGCTGATGCAACTTCCCAAATAAGTGAAGCGGTCAACGTGCGTGCTTCACCAACCACTTCACTCCCTAGGAGTCAGTGTAGTCTAGTCCTGTAGCCTCATCATCTTACATTTGAATAGGTGGGGCGAATCGCATACCAAACATTCGTAGATTGCAGCTCAATGTCAGCATCCTCGCCTAGAAGGAAGGACTATATCGTCGGTATATTCTAAGTCAACGAAATTATTTCATCTCCGGTAGCAAGTCAATCCCATCTCTCCTCATTACTACTACACACCAACTACTACTTAGGAAAAAAAAAGTGTATTACGCAATTAGAAAAAGTATGAATATTCTTCATAATAATGCAAACAAATTTATAAGACGAGAAAAGAGAAAGGTCATAGTTCAACTAATGTTTATATATATAATAGTTTGCTGTTAATGATGTTGTCACTACATACTGTTCTTCCCTAGTACAGTTTCTTCTTTCCTCATTTTCGTTATTTATGTTTATAATAGAAGAAAAAATGAGTGAGTAGACTAGATGGAAGGAATCATAAAGGACGAGAAGGGGCAGGAGGAAGAGGAAGCGGAGGAGACTGAAGGTCAAGAAGTAGAAGCAGAAGAGGAAGAAAGTGGAATACACAAAAATTTCTCCTCCCCCCCTCTCTCTCTCTTTACAAAAGGCATCTTTCATTCACAGCTCTTAAAAGGAGAATAAATACAAATTTATGCCTAATGAATGACACACGCACACACACACACACACACACACGATAAGAGAAGCAACAAGGTTTTTCTTTGAAAAAAAAACAAAAGAACGTGTGTAAAACCGTTAGAAAGTACGAATAAGAAGCCTAACACAAAGAGAGATGAAGAAGAATAAAAATGATGTAAAAATATAAAATAACTGGTTGAAGTGAAGTGAATTGGAGCGACGACGCGACGCGACGCGATGTAACGTGACATGAACTAACTGACTAACTATATTATTGGCTGACTAACAGTCTAAAAAGTTAGCAGCCATTAACAACTCCAATGAGATTTCTGGTGCAATTGGAAATTCTGGTATCTCACTTGAACTATTTGTATAGCGTACTTTATAAGCAAAATAACTACACACTTTTTGTAATACATGCGATGGTATTTCACGAAAATGCACAACATTTGTTTCATTCTCTTGAAATTGACCTGTAGGAATAATAATAATAATAATAATTGATCAGAAAAATAAAGACCATGTAAATAACATGGGAGAAGAAAATAATTTGTGAAGTACAATATGATATATATTTCAATAAAGCACTATTGTTGGTATTAGATTGTTGGAGGCAATCGGCCAGAGGAAGCCTTGCTTGACCTAGGTTACGTGTTAGTTGGCACTCACCAGTCAGGAAGGCGTATCTCTACAACTAGCTTGAAGGAACTCATGTCCCTCCTTCTGAGATTCGAACCCACGTGACCCAGTGCTGCCTGGAGTCAGAGACGTTACCACTGAGCAGAGCTATTCAGGCTTGCGATTGACCTCCTGTAGGAGTGTATTGGATTATTTTTGATTGCACACTAGTCAGTAACTGACTGGTGTAATGTGTCTCTAGTCCTTGGCGTTTGGTGCAGACTGAATTCTATCAGTCAAGCTTGCAATGTGGCCACCATGCCTCCAACCATCTAATACCAACAATTCACAGTGCACCGTAATGGTGAGCCACCTAGTTGGCATGATGGCCATATTGCAAGCTTGACTGATAGAACTCAGTCTGCACCGAAGACAGGAGGGGCTAGACACATTACACTAGTTAGTTACTGACTAGTGTCCGATGAAAAATATAAACCACTATGTATGTAACACTCATCGGCTTAAGCCATTCAACTTTCAACCATTGGATACTACGTTCAAATCCTGTCCCTCGCTCAACTACTCCAGCCTGACTAGTTTCAATATGGAACTACTTTGCACGAATGTGCAACAGGTTCGAGTTGCCTCTATGTAGCACACAAAGCAAGAGGAGAGAGAGAGAGAGAGAGTAGTGAGAGATAGCAAACAGAAGTGTGAAGCAAAAAGAATACTAATGATATGGAAGAACAGTGGGAATCGCAAAGTAGGCTAACGAAACAGCTGGCTGTCCAGTACTCCCTGATGGGCTTTCTAATGGATCTCCAACAAATGTCAGCTCATGATGAAATCCTGTAACTAATCAATCAAATCCCTACAAACCGATACTTGAATACAGTAGAGTTTTATTGGATACTATAAATCACAAAGAGTGAATGCATCTGCGCTATTTATTGATGACGATTTTCAGCCATATTCACCACCAATTATTATCTCCAGCCTTCATTAGTTCTTACCATCCTCAAGACCACCACAACCAGTCAGGAAGTCTATATCTCCCTCTCTGACTGGTCGAGTTAAACTAACTGTTATCGATTTTATTGACTGGTGAAGCCGTATTTTGGTTTGACCTCCACTAGGCCTTCTCTTTTCCAACTTGATTCATCCTATGTCAGTCATTTAACATTGCCCGTCGACGAAGGCGACAGCTAAGCTAGGCTAGGCATACCTAATAAAGTATAATTATATTTCAATAGTTTACACACAATGATAAGTTTTGTTATTGCTAATATTTCGAACAAAACTTATCATTGTGTGTAAACTATTGAAATATAATTATACTTTATTTGATCTAATCCACAATGCTCAAACTTTTTACTGATATAGGCATACCTACTTAACACATGCCCTAACCATCTCAATCAACGCAACTGCTTCACAACCTCGTCGATTGATTTTCTCTCTTTACCTAGTATTCGATGCCTAACCTCAATATGACTCACTCTATTATACCACCTAACAAGGGAGATACAACGTAGGCACCTATGATCGAGGACAGATAACTAACCAGGCTTTTCATATCTTCCACTTTTAATGGTCATGTCTCAAAGCCATAAAGGAGGGTGGAGTAAACTGTTGACTAGTACACACGTCCTTTGGTCGATAACCAGTCGGATGATGTAAATTGGCGAATGTCCCACGAGCCTTCTGTATCCGTGCTGAGATTTCGTTAGAGACCAACCCACTGGGGTTGATGCAACTCCAGTCTGCAGGTAACTGGGTACTGTCCCTTACGGCTTCGTGGAGCTGTGACTCATTTGCTTAGGAGCCTGAACTCCAGATTCATTAACCAAGGTTTAGGCAACCAGGTAGCGTCACTAGTCCTCATTGTTGATTGCATGAAATCGCAAGTGATTCTTGAGTGAAACTTCTATTTTTTTTTATATAACTGGATGGCATCATTAGTCCTCTTCGCCCAATAAAAGTGACTCAGTCTGGAACATGAGAAACTGAGTTCAAGTATTGACAACAACTTTCAAAATGTCAAAGCACGATTTTTCATCAAGTAAGTTTAAAATATTGTCAAAATGTACATTGATGAATAGCTTATTTAGACAAATGAAAATTACCATCTGATTTTATTGTTTAGATTCCTTGGGATTATTAGTGGGGAGAGTGCAAAAGACTTTAAATAGATTTCACTCTATCGATTTATCAGGGGTACATTAGGTTTCACATAATAAATCAATAGGCCACGAATACGTATCCTACTTCGCTTACTTCGGAGATTGAGCAAAGAATTCTAAGACTCTTAACACAATTCAATTAAACAGTTGTGTTTATAAATTTACCTGCTCGTGTAGAGCTAGTTATATTGGCCGCACAAAGCGCACGCTTTCCGAACGCATCTCTGAACATTATCCGGCATGGTTAGCAAAGGGACAATGCAAGACAATTACTAGCTCAATTCTCGAGCATTTGGTGAATTCAGGCCAGGTAGAGTCGTCTTTCAAGATCACCTACAAAGTGAAACCAAATGGTACAAAGGGCGTCAGGTTTCGGCTTTTGTGTATGGCGGAGGCGCTGGCAATTCATCAATACAACCCTAAACTCTGTATACAGAAAAAGTCTGTCCAGTCTCTTATTCTACCTTGGTCTTAACCTCTTTACTAATCGTTCCCTGTGAAAGAATTTTGATTTTTTCTTTTGTTTCTAATTTTACTTATAGTTTGCTTTTGCTTTAAGAATTAATTCACTATTATCAATCTCATATGTTCCATTTTGCACATTTTCACACCCTCTTCACACTTGTTAAATTGACACTCAACTACCACCTTTATTCTCACTCAAGAGCAATTTTTAACCTTATCAAACTTCTATCTTTGTTCCGTTGAGTACCATGTAATTTACAACTCTTAATTTTCACTTCTAAAGCCATTTATGAGTAATTATATCAATTATGTCACCCCTATTACTCAACAATAGACCACTACACATTTCTTAACTATAAATACGACTGTAAGGCAGCCTCTGAAGATGATTTCGTCGATAAAGAAAATTTTCTTCGCTGAATCTGTCTTTTATTTTCTTCATGTGACTCAATGGGTATTTTCCGTGATTTAAACAGTTGCCAGTTGTCTTTTTTCTTAGAATGACTGATTAATTTGTAACTTTTATTCAATTGAATTAAAATTTCAGGGGAATTTGGTAGTTTGACATACGTCTGTACATTTCGGATTGTGAGGGCGTTTGTTACTTCCCGGCTGCCCACACCGTGGAAGTTGGTTGCGTGACCGCAGAGCCCAGGGGACAACTGCTTGAGGCCGGTCACACGCGGCCTGTTTTTGTTTGTTCTCTTTTGTTTGGTGTGCCTCAGTAGCATATTTATCACTCCTGCCCTGTGACACGGCAGCAGGAAGCGCGGTCGTTGTTAATCCGGGCCACGGCCGATCCGGCATGAAATTTTGTGAATTTGTTTGAATCATGGTATTGGATGCTTTTTGTTTAACCGCTATCCAAACAACCTGACTGGCATGGTAGAACCTCAAGAGACATAAGTCTCAGCCAGTATAGCTTGATTAGGTCATTGCGGTGTTCAAGCCCGACCACCACGTCAAGGTAGCAGCTTTCGGTCGGGTTTGACATACGTGTAGCAGCTGGTAAGACCAACGGTTGAATGATTAAAAACATGCGACATAAATTATGATGTACAAGTGTGCTTTGATTTATTATTTATTCAAAACAAACAGTTGGGGAAGTTTGACAGCAGCTATGATTCTCAGAGATGCTATTGAAGTACTCTGTAACATTTTTTGTGATTATGGCTTCAAACCACACAGTATTTTTGGTACAGGTATGGAATTTTCAGCATATGATATCGGTAGCTCAAATTTTGCAGGCCGATCATAGATATCAGGTGTGCGTCGGCAGGGGATCGAACCCCGGATCATGTGCATAATCGGCGAGAGTCCTAATCGTTGTGCTACCGACGCACACAGACTTAGTCTACTACTACTACTACTAAAATATCTGCACTCAAACAAGCTACTTCCATTTTGATTGAAACTGACTGCATATCGCTTGTAGATTTTGTCCACAACAAAGTCATTAACATCATTATTATTATTACGTAAAACAATTAGTTTCCTTTATGATATTAGATAAAGCAATAAGAAGACGTGGAGGTCAACAGCACTCAGCATCAAAAATAACATCCGGATTTTCAACTCCAATGTGAAGTCAGACTGCTACTATACGGATCAGAGACTTGGCGCGTCATAAAGAGCATCTCAAACAAACTTCAGACCTTCATCAACAGTTGTCTTCGCTCAATACTCAAGATCAGATGGCCAGCCAGAAAAGATCAGTAACAGGGATCTCTGGCAATGAGCCAACCAACACAGCAGGAACCGATTGTGAAACAAATAGGCAGGAAGAAATGAAGTTAGATGGATTGGCTGGCCATACGCTGAGGAAACCATCAAGTGACATCACTAGACAAGCCATTGATAGGGAAGTGGCGAGTTGGTCGTTAGTGCAATGGTGACTTAGAGGAGGTCATGTGAGGAGGAGATGAAAGCATGTGGGCAAACTTGGAGCGGAGTGAAAAAGTTGGCAGAAAACAGAAGGCAATGGAGGTGCGCAGGTGAAGCCCTATGTTCCTCTAGGAATTAAAGGATATAATAATAATAAGACGTAATTGTTATTATTCCCTTGGGTTCCGAGTGGAACATAGGGCTTCTATACAAAGTCAGTAACACCGAGTCGTACCTGCTACTACTGCTAACTATTAGAAATAACTTCTCAGCTTTATAACAATACACTAATGTTATGTAAATCAAAATTTGTCGTATAATCTTGTTATCATATAGAAATGCTAAGATAGAAAGTGTTGCCTGTGTGCCGAGCCTCCACCTCTCTTCCCTAGTTAACATTGGACTGCGGTAAGAAAAAATTTAAAACTCGTCAAATCAAAACCTGGTATCACAATTTCTATAGAGTTTTTGACGGTCGATTTGAGCCAGACACATAGAGAGGTGCTAGAATAAAGAATAAATGGCTGGGGACTACTGATGATATGGCTCGAAATCGTTGTCTGTGACATGAGATGCATTCACCATTCTAATCTTCCAGATCCATTTAGTCTTCATATTTTTTTCCAGGTTATTATTCTTTCTCTCGGAATTCACTAAAATTATTTAGAACTTTTTTCCCCCTACTTTTGTGTGGTATATAGCAACTTGAACAAGGTGCACTTCTGTGCAACGGTCTATGTTGAAGCTTAGCCGATCGGCTAAGACATGTATAATGTAAACTGAATACTTTACAAAACAAAGGAACTTGGGTTCTACCACTAACACAACAACCTTGTTGTAAAAGAGTCTCAAATACGCAGCACATTAGGCACAACGTCTTGTTCCAAACAGTACGACTTTGCGTCATACAACATACTGTCAGCTTCTATTTCTATTTCTCTTGCTTTGTATGCTACATGGAGGGAGTGTGGCGACTTGAAGTGCTGCACATCGTTGCAAAATTCTATGTCGGAAACAGACAGACAGACAGATTTACTTGAAGATCTTATATACAGGAAGTTAATACTTTTCAAACTATACTGAGAATTCTGTATAGCGTATGGACATTTCCACAATAGAGTTGATTATATTGTGGATTATATGGGTATACTCGTTACAGAATTCTCAACAATCCAATCAAATTCATAAGTTAAAAAATGACGTAGAATCCTACAGATCAAGATTTATTAGGAGAAGGATGTATGTTGTTTTTACAGGTAAATTATTACATAGCGTCCACATCGATAGATGAACTTTGAAAAACAACCAGATATACATGTAGTTTACGCATAATAGACTATGTCGTTTTATCTTGGTTGGCTTAACAAATGCCATGAAAACCAATTTATTGATTGCAGTGTGAATAATACAATAATTGGAGTTACTCAAAAACACATACATTCAGAGGGGGTTTGATAAAATAATTAGTCTCCTCAGAGGTTCGGGATTTCGGGGTATTTAGACAGAATCAGAAAAATAAATAGATATTAGAGCATCACCCAAGCTTACGACAACTCTAAACTTATTCTAACCTATTCTTCGATTATGCCTTTTAATGGTAAATGAAGATTTTATCTACCTACTATGTTCTGAAGTAACGCTATTCCGTGCTAAATATGTTCTATGAGGGCTGGAATAACGCTGATAAGCAAGCCCAGTAGGTTTTGATCTACTCCTGAATATGCCTAGAAAAAGAACACGGTGCTGAATTAGTGCCAGTTATGCTGAAGACTAGCAGTGAGTTGTAGTCTGTGCCACTAAAGAATCTATCTCAGAACAGATTCAAATTTTATTCACTATAGAATTATTTCAGAACTAGTGAGATTTAATTCAGAATTATAGTAAGCTTAGGAATGATCTAGAGTCATCAGTCAATTTTATTTGTCTGAAATAATGCATGGATTAAGAACCAATAATGTTTACACAGCATGAATTAAAATAAAAATAGTTGTAAACTAACACTCATTCGATGATAATACATAACTACCACTGACACATGTTAACGTTTAACTTACCCGGACCAGATAACATAGCCTTTATAGTACCACTTGTGAGAGCGTATTCGCGGCGAACATAAAATTCGTGATCATCAGAAGACACCAGTTTGACATACATGGCATCTGCACCTTCAGCGCCGCCATACTTCTGTTCAGAAGCACCAGCTGACTGGACTTCAGCCATCACAGTCAAAAGTTGCGCGCACACCCGAACGCCAGAGGTTTAATTTACCGGTTAAAATTGGTTCCAACAAAACAGTGGTCTTCAATGTCTCAATTCAACTGAAAACTTTGGGAGATTATATGGCATATTTCCTATTTGAGGTGGCGCCTCTGGCCTAACCTCGACGGTATTTGCGCGGTTTAGTCGATTTGAGCTGGGGCTAGTCGTCCAGGAAAACTCAGTTGACGTGGTTTTGGTGTTTATTCTGCTCTTGTTGGATGAATTTATGTGAAAATTGTTGTTCGGTATTGTTCTTGAGCATTTACGTATTAATGAAAACAAAACACGTAGATCAGCAAAGAGTCTCTTTTCTGCGAATTCATTTTCTTAGCTATACAATCGCATATATATATGTTGTTTTGTATGTATGTGTACATTAAGATTGTCAAACAAAATTATAATTGGTTAAGGTTATTTCAACTAGACATTTACGTATTGCTTGTGTGGCAGGACGCTTAGATACATGGTTTATGTAATAATTATTTTGTCTGCCGAGTATGCTTCGCGTACATTTCGACAACTGTCTTTCAACAAATTTCTTTGCGGCTTGCTGGCAACCTGTACTAGGTCGTAAATTTCCTGATCAGCTGTTTTGAAGCACCTGTTTCTGTTTCAGAAACCGAAGAATATGGCTGATATCGAATACGTGCATGCTTCTGCACCTTTTTGTGGCGTTTTGATCGTGCGTCGGTGGCACAGTGGTTAGGACTTTCGCCGGCCATGCACATGGTCCGGGGTTCGAGCCCGCGCCGGCGCACATCCGATATCTATGGTCGGCCTGCAGAATTTGGGCTACCGATATCCATGCTGAAAAATTCCATACTTGTACCAAAAAAATACAGTGTGGGATCAAGTTGTAATCAAAAAAATTAAAAGGCAATGATATCTACAAGCGAAGATTAGAGTTCTCAAACGGGCAGAAACTGCAATATGTTTCACAATCACTTGCAACATTGGCTGCCTTTTGCCAAAATTTTTAACTGAGATAAATGCTCACTACAACATTCTAGTACCTTACTATATTTCAATAATATCGTCGTGATCGGGTACGTGAAGACATCTGAGGTGTGAGTCATTTTGTCCCGTTATTGAGTTAGATTTCATAAAATTCTCTCTTTTTGCTATTATCCTGAAGCCATATTATGTGCATTTGTACGATGTCAACTCACACAGTTATTTTGGAATCATGCAGACGTGGTGTTTGACATCTATTAAAGCTGTGGACGTAAGGTTTAGAATCGGTTGCTATATCCATTTAGGGAGGACTCGTTGATGTCTGCAAGTAAGGGCCTTAGATCATATTCTTAAATGCCTCCAGGAGCAAATGGAATCTTCAAAACCCATTAATGGTGAGAACAGGAGACCCAGATCCCCTATTGCAAAAAATATTATAGAGACAGGACATAAAATTGACGTTTACAAATCTTTTAAACCTATCTACAAAACGTGCTTGGATAGTATCCTAAAGCTTGTGGAAGCCCTAGCAATCAGGAAGTTTAGGCCACCTTTATGCATTCAAAAACAACTCGTCATCACACTAAACCTTCCTTAGTAAGCTTCGTTTTGATGCTGGTCAGGTGATTTGCTTCAGTGATCTTCATTTTTATTTTTGTCTTCAGTATGTGCTTTTAATGCGACCTACATTTATTTTCTCACCTCTTAACTTTCTATTAATTCCATATGTATTCCTATGACAAGTCCGTGTGTGTGTTCAGATTGGCCAGCGTGTTGCGCGACACGATTGAGACAAATTACGTCTTCTTATCGGTTTATCTAAGTATCCACTTGTGTCAAAAGCAGTGACTGATGTAATCGCACATTGATATAAACTTCTATTAAGTCTTACTATGTTAATTCGTTAATTATCATATTAATAGTAATATTCATGGATATATCCTGTTAACCCTTGTTGTCTTTATTTAGCTGCTCAGTAATTTTGGCGACCTCATGGGGTTCGTTGATAAGGAAAGTGGTTTCCAGTATCGCTGATTTTTTGCTCTGTGTTAAACCACTGATGAATGTATTCCCTATACCTCAAATGAACATTCCACTTGTTAATAGTGAATGCTAACTTTTGAGAATGTTGTGAGCTGCAGAGTTTGCAAGATTGAGGTCATGTGTTGTATTGAGTGGTGCATTTAGAAGATACGTTCGCCTCTGAGTTATATTGTCGACAATATGCAGTGCATTCTTGTTGTTGTAATAAATTTGTTAGCAGTAATTATTGTCAGTATCTATATTTTGGAATGATGGTATATAACGAAACGTACTAGTTCAGTTGTCAGAAATCGAAACAAGTAATCATGTGAGTGAGATTGATTATTTGAAAGTCGGAACATCACGTAAGTGATAAAGTTACTGGCATCGTTTACATGCGAATGGTTAAGGTTGTTTATTTAGAAGTGATGGTATTTTGTTGATAGTATAAAGGATATTTTGAGTGATATGAACATAGGTGGAACAATGTAACTTGAATAGCTTCGCAACATGGCGTTCACTTCCAGTTTTTAATCACTAAGTTAAGGTCGACGTCTCTAGAGGTTTCTTGATTAAAAGATTAAATTGTCGCCAAAGTAAGCAAATATGTTCATATCTAGAAAATGCTTATGTTTGGGGTTGTTTTTCTACTATCACGACACCAGGTGACTCACCAGTCGGTGGCAAAGTAAACCTAGATCTGCCAAAGACAGTGTGCTCCTGACTTCTGGATATCGTAGTGAACCGTTAAGGAAAAAGTATGCCTATAGGTTAATAGGACTAGACGCATGGTATTAATTCAAAACTAGTTAACTACGATTCGCAGCCACAGAACACACCACGTTGCAGTCCATTCCTTCAATCGTGTCAATCAGTGTGATGCCAATTAAGACTAGAGGAGGAACACCGCTGGCTTTAAGAAAATCCATTTCTGTTCCTTAGTGTAATGTATTGTCCTTGGAAGGTTGTTCTTCACTTTGTAGATTACTCTGAGGCAATGGGGGTTTGTTTTGATGGAATGATCAGTGTTGACGAGATGTTTGATCATTGCACTCACTATACGGCCACTACCTCCATTCTGCAGCCACGATGGATAGTGTTCTTTGACGCTTTTTGACAAGATGCGCGTTGAACGACCGATGTACCTGGCTCCACAGCAATAGGTGAACTGATATATACACACATAGAAGTGGTCAGATGCGAGATCTTGACCTTTGGGCTTCTTGAGATAGGCGAGTGACTGGAGAACAATACTTCCGGTGTTACCACAAGGAAAGTTGTCAGTCACGTCTCTTAAACCGTTAATGCCCAGCTCTTGCTACGCTGGGACTCACGCTGTTCCTCGAAGCTTCTCAGAAACACTTAGTACGGACGGACACAAAAGCCAGAACCCAGTTTAGCGACTCGAGAATTATTTATTCTAACACCGTTATATAGCCAACTTTACAACTAGGGTTTCTGACGGTTTTATCCTGACTTCTTTCTTAACAGCGACCGATGAGACGATGACTGATGTATTGATGCCTCCGCGAAAATTGGGGAAGTTGGTTTTGAGAAAACAACCACGAATTGATCGTTCAATCTTCAACTACATTGACAAAAGTTCTTAAAGAAGTGGAAATTCTCCTTCTGAGGGCATCACTGAGTAAGTCACCTTTGAAGTCGAGGTTCATATAAAGTATCTTATTTGACACGGATGGCGTCTTTTGCTTTTGGATTTTCTGTTTGATGTTTTTGTCAGTGAATTTTGGTGGATAACCGTTTTGCGTGAAGGTTTCCTTCAGGAAGTGTAGTTCTTGTTTCAGGGTATCAGAGCTGCAGATGCTAATTGTACCTGCAGAAATTTTACAACACAAAGAATACCCTGTTGGGATGGAGTGCCGTGTTACACTGGTTCCTCAGTTTACAGGTTAATCACATTTAATAATATCACTATTACCGCTCTTAGTTGAAAAAATAATTCGGCTGTGTCATAGATGCTTTTGGCTGTATTCCTCGGTACCAAGTACTGTTCCCTATGCATTGAAGACACCTTGCAGGGGGATATTACAGCTTCGCCGAGAACCGAAAAGAAACGTTTCACTAATACAAATTTTATACAGTAATAAATGCACTATTAACTCACTGCGCTCAGCCCTACATTACTTTATGAAATTTTCTTGTTTGAAAATGAAGCATGTACGTATATATTGTGTCAGTAATTGCAAATACACACTAGCATTTAAATTTCATACGCCTTCTATCGCACCACTCCATATAACAATAGTTTGATAGTTATTTACGAATGCGGTAAAAGGTATTTCATGGACCACTAGTAGCACTTTGTAATAAGGAGTATGGGTACTTAGTGAAAGTATTTTCGAGAACTTATACGATGAGTTTAGCTTCTTTCTAATGTATACGCACTTATCAGCGCAATGAAAAGATAATGGCGAATTGTTATCACAAGCCCTGTATTTACTGTATACGGAATGTTATTACTAGCAAACTTCACAGTGACAATGTTAATAATAATTTATATTTTCATATGAACATATAAATTTACATGAAAATGCATGTCATTTTAACAGGCACGATCAATTATGATATAATGTCAAATTGTAGATTGTCTACAAGTTAATTATGTTTCAACAGTTAAATATTTGATATGTATATAAATACACTCATTGCTTGATCCAGGCCGTACAGTTATTGAATTGTACAGTTGTCCTCCAGGTTGAGCGGGAAAATCGACTTCGTTTCGTTTTCATCCCGTGGTTGTGGGCATACGGTAACCAACCAATATTGAGGTAAGCACAACGTTTGCAAGGGATTGAAAGCTGTTTCAGAAAAGTTAAATTGCTAAGGTGAATCATTAAAGTGTATTTAATTAAGTAAGTGCAGTATATCATTAATAAATACGTTTATATAGAAAACAGAATGGGGAAGTAATTGATCCCTAGGCCGACAACGTTCATTTACAATGCATAATAATACCAATATAC